CAGCGCATCAGGGCTGTGGCAGAGCAGGCAGGGCTGCAGAAACCTTTCCTTCCTCCCACAGATGTCAATGCGGTTGCATCGGTGATGGTGCCCGGGCTGTGCATGCCCCGGGCTGCTCTCTCTGCTCTGGCAGCAGTGAAGGAATCTGGGCTGACCGGAGCCCAGGGTGATGGGAGCTGCAGGAGCGGGTCTGGCTGCGGGAAACTGGGAGTACAGACTGCGGAGGAGTCAAAGCTGCCTGTGGGTGGGTAGGAGAGTGGAACAGGGAGTGGGGATCCAAGGATAGAAGTGTAAGTAGGGAAGAGGGAAAGGAAAACTGTATTCAGGGCCAGAAGAGCCCTTGTACTGCTCTTCTCCTTGTTCTGCTTCACTCCGTCCAGGTAAACTGCTTGTGCAAATGTGCTGCCTCGCAATTCTGTGGTGCAAGGGTTGCAAGATCCCCGGAAAGGTCCCTCCTGGGAGAAAATGCTCTCATCTGCAGCCTCCGAGCCTTCAGTACTCACCCAGGAAAGAGGTTCAGGTTGGGTTTTTTTTGAGAGGCGGGGTGAAGGAAGGGTCTGAAAGAGGGGAGATTTCGATTGGACATCAGGAAGAAATTCTTCCCAGAGAGGGTGGTGAGGCACTGGGACAGGTTGCCCAGAGAAGCTGTGGATGCCCCATCCCTGGAAGTGTCCAAGGCCAGGCTGGATGAGGCTTGGAGCAACCTGGTCTAGTGGAAGGTGTCTCTGCCCATGGCAGGGGGTGGGACTGGGTGGGCTTTCATGTCCCTTACAACCCAAACCATTCCTTGAGTCCATGATAGAAGTGGAGTGTGTCCCACTGAAACATACTCCCAGTGTCCTGCTGCTGCTTGTGGCCTGAAGATGGTGTTTTGGGGTTTTTTTTCCTAAAAGCTGGTCTGCCTTCCTCCTGATTCTATCATCCCAATAACAAGTTATTACCTCCCTTTACAACCTCGCCTTCCAGCTTTCACCCTGTGTTTTCCACATGTTTCTGCTTAGGAATCCACGGTGCCTCCCCTGTTTCCCAGCGAAAGACACGCTGCTCTGAGCCTACCTCCATAAAAGCCCCTAATTCCATTAAAGTCCATTACCAGCTCCTCTCCCGCCGTTCCCGGAGGAGCGCAGGGCAGCGCGTATCAGAGACCGCAAGAAAACAAATGGCCACTTTGAACAAATCCCGGGGCCGCTTGCCAAGCGGGGATTCCCAGCTATTTACAAACCGCCCTCGCTTCCTCCTCGTAAAAAGGTAAAATGGAAGCAGGGAAAATATGCATTTTATAATCACCCAGATTTAGTCCTTTAAAGGATTTATTACAACCTTTTATTTTCATGCGTGGAAAATGTAATCTTGTCGGGTACGCCGGCTGGCCCGGCTCGACTCGCCGAGTCGGTTTTACAGCAGAAAGCTATCAAACAGCAACCTTCGGGGCCACACTGTGCCTGGGTGTTAAAGTTACTCAAATGCATTAAAGCAGTTGAAAAGTGCATTAAAATAGGGCGCTGGGAGAGGAGGAGATCGGCGCAATTAGCGATCTGATGCTTTTCAGCAGCTGCTTGCAGCGTTGATCCGGTGTATCCACAGCGGGTGCCGCTGAGAGCTGATGGAGGAAGGAAGCCCACGCACTAGCCACGCTGTTGCCACCGCAAAAATCCCGCTTGCAGAGGGTCAGGAGCCAGCTAGCTTGGCGGACGTGGGATTTTAGCAGGGATCGGATGCAAGAGGTTGTAGGAGGTAAATGCCTTGAACCCTGAATTTTAATTTATGCTGTTTGTAAGCGGCGGAAGCTGCTGGGGTGGTTTTGCGTCCCCTCTGCTGTGCCGGGGAGCGGTGCCGATGACATTCGGAGTTCAGCAAGCAAAATCCTATTAAGATAACGTCACGGCCTTTCTGTTTTACTGTTTGCAAGCCAGCCATAACATCATTAAATTACACAACAGGGAGGTGCCTGCTGCCAAGGAGCTCTGCTCGAGATAAGATGTGGGTTGAGCTGCTGCCAAAATTTGAGTTGATATGACAGGAAATTTGGAGCTGGTTCAAGGCTTCGTTCGCACAAGGCATCGCAGCGTGCAGGTAAACACTGTGCAGGGTTGGTCCCTGGGGCAGCTTGGCTGCTCTGACCTGGGACACGGCGCGGGTTGTGCAAGTCGGGCAGTTCCCGGCACTGCAACGCCTGCACAGGGCAGGGCTGAAGACATTTGTAAAGAGCCAGATTTACACCCCTTCTTGTGTTCAGCACCAACAAATAGAAGACAGAATCTGGCAGGATCTGTAGATGAAGCTCAGGCAGATGTTTGCAGGTCCTTGCCATCCTTACCTCCAGCCACCCCATCCCCATCCCTTTTGGGGGGAGCTGGAGGCAGGCCGACAGCCAAAGGGAGTGATACTGGAGGCTCATCCTAGTAATGGGAATGCCTGTAATGTGAGGGCGGTTTCAATAGCCAGTTATCTGTAGCTAGAGATGGGGTGAATGGCATCCAGCGGTGTTTGCAAGGAGGTGAGGGAGGTGGAATGATTCCCAGGGAGAAGAGATGGCTGACAGGGTTGTGTTAATTGATGGGCAGAACAGGAACCAGGGGCAATGAGGTGCTCAGGGAAGCTACTTGTTTTGTGACGCCACGGCTGGACGGGCAAGAAGAGGAGTGAGAAGAAATAGCCACTGCGTAAAAGTACCTGCAGCCCCTGTAGCCGCACCAGAAGCTGGTGTGCATCACCTGCTGCAGCCTGCCATGCTCGCCGATGCAGGCTCTTGCCCTTTTGCTGCTGCAGGTACAGAGGTTTGGTCCTGGCCTCTCTGGGACCTCAGGTTTTTCTGTGCTGTCCTGCTTGTGGCTAGTCTGGTCCTCAGGCTCTCTTTTGCAGATCCCCAGGGAGAACCCATCTAGCACCATCCTCATCTTGCCATCACTCAGCGAAACTCCCGTCGTCGGCATTAAAGACCTTTTTCCCCTGCAGCATCTTCCAGGCAGGGGTGATGATGCACAGCCAGGGCTCGGGGCTCAGCACAGCCCGTGACACAGGGGAATTTCGGTGATTCTGTAGAAGTGCCTGGGCTGTATGTGCAGCCCTGCGTCACCCCATCCTCCGAGACATCAGGAAGAAATGACTTAAAACAAAAATTGTGCTTTAAAAGCAGCTTTCTAAGCATTTTCCATTAGAGAAGCTTTGTTTCCATCAAAGGCTGAACAGAGACACAAAGCCTCCCCTGCTCTGGGATTCTGCCTGCTGCTCCAGTTCTGCTATTACTGCTTTCCCTCGCGGCTGCCTTTCTGGCATTGCTGACTTTCAGGGTCCCAGCTGCATCTCCTCGGTGTTACAGCAGCTCAGGTACAAAGTCGCTCGGAGTTTCTGTTCCCGGGATGTTCTCTGCAAAGGGATGGAGCAGCGTGCACAAGCACATCCCGCAGCGACCTTCTATCCCACGAGCAGTGCCACGTTCGTGCCTCTCCAGTGCCTCATCCCCTAGCCTGCCTGCATCCTTGTAATTACAGAGCGACGTGTGTGCAGGGAAGATGAGATACCGCACCGTGTCGGGCAAGTCTGTGACCTCCCTGTGATTCTCCAGTTTCCGTAACAGCAGGATATTTGTTTTGTTGCCATAGAAAACCTGCCCGTGCAGGTTTGCAGGGTACCGAGTTGTCACCACAACCGTTGCCTTGCAGTGAGCCTGAGAGCAGCCGCGTGTCCCTGAGAACAAATCAGATGGTGTTTCCTGCCACCTCCTCGGGAAAAAAAAAACGTGTTAGATTGACAGTTTTGGAAAACGAAGCTTTCTGTCTGTCAACAAAGCCGACAGCAGCATGGCACAGTCGCAGGAGCGCGTCGTCCCCTCGTGCCCCGTGGTGGCTGCCCTCCCGACGGCATCGCCTGGCTGCGGCGGGCAGGAGGATGGTCCTCGTCCCTGAGGACACTGCAAAGCTAGTGTGTCTAGGGTGAGTGGTGGTTGTGCCTTCAACATCAGACCAGGATGCGATCTCCCAGCTGCTGTGGGGCGGTGGTCTGTGCTTCCCTTCCCTGGGGAGGGCAGGGCTTCGCTGGTGCCAGCCCAGTGACAGGCTGCGGCAAGTGCCGAGCGGTGCAGCTGGTCACCCGTGTCCCCTGCGGCTGCTGTTTCGGTGGCTGAGGCATCCACTCATCCTTCCAGCTTGCCGCTGTTGCTGCGAGATACACAGGCCTGGAGGGCAGCAGCACTCCGGGGACAGGACACAGAGGTGTCAGGGACGCGTGGGTCTTTCACAGCTTTCATCCATCCCCAAGATCCTCTGCCGCGGGGAAGGGCAGTTTTGCCAAAGGGAGGTGGGCTCCCTGACCGGGTGGGTGCCCTGATCGAGGTGCCTGGAGGCTGCAAAGCAGAACACAGTCTCTGCTGCTGCCCCCCTGCATCCCACTTCTCAGACCGTGTTAAGGCTCTGGGAGCAGCAAGTAGGGATGGGAGGGTTGTTTCCCAAATGATTTCCTGGGGAAGAACCTGACCCTGGCAGGGGCTGATGGGCGCTGCGGTGGGAGCAGGGTGCAGAGAGCTCTTGTGAAGCCGATCTGCATCAGGTTGCCCAGAGCTGAGGAGAACATCCCTTCTGCAAAAGTGTTTCTTGACCAGCTTTGTGCATGCAAGACCTCTCCTCCCCTTTCCTCAGCTGTGCCAGGAGCTGGAAGGCGTCAGGATTGTGGTCAGGATGTGGAAGTCTGCCTGGATGGCGGTTCCAGGGTGGCAGTTCTCGGTTTTATGGCAGTTATATGAAATATAACTATCATATATCTACATATCACAGCTTTTGAGTATCAAAGGTGTGTAGGTGAGCCCTGCACCTGAGGAGGGGGTGCTGCAGGTGAGCAGGCTTCACTGAGGGTTGGTAAAGGTTGGAGGGGCACATGGCTTGTCCCCTGCTTGTCCCCCACTGCACCGTGTAGCAAGCCACGGTGCTGGGGGGCAGGCAGCCGAGGCGAGGGGACAACTGCTCGCTGCCGCTCCCTGGGACGTGCTCACTGTGTGCTTCTCCTAGGTGACACCGGGTCTGGAGGGGCAAGAAGGGGAGCTGCTCGTGAAGGGACCCTCCGTCTTCCGCGAGTACTGGAACAGACCCAGAGAAACAGCGGACGCCTTCACGCCTGACGGCTGGTTCAAAACAGGTACCACGGTGGCTTCCCCACGGCGTCTGGCCGAGGGCAGCGAGGGAAGAGGGGGGCAGCAGCTCTGGTTTGGCCCTCGAGGTTCCCCAGCTGCTGGGGACAGGGTTTGGAGATGGTCACAGCCTGGCTTAGGGTGCAAGCTGGGCAGGCTTCCAAACGCCGGGCTCAGGGAAGGGCTGCCTTAGCCTTGGCCATAATTAGCCAAGTAACAGGGTATGTTTGGGAGTGTTTACTTGTAAGCATAGTGTACCTGCACCTAAGGTTTTCCGACAGCTTAACCTTTGCAACCTCAGCACTTGAACACCGGGTGGGGTTTAGCTTAATTTACATGGGGACCCAGGTCAGTGGAACCCCCCGACTAAGCTCCGGGGCACTGGATCCGTCCTGGCCCCGGCGTGCTGTCTGCGGGGGAGTTTGCTCTCCGGGTCATGGCTGAGTACGTAAAGACAAAGTGCGGAGGGTCGAAACTGTGCGCCTGGGCAGGTCGGTGGTCCCTGGAATCGTGGGCTTGGCTGCAGGGGTTGAGTGGGTGCTTTGCTAGGAGCTTTGTCAGTCAGAAAATTGTAATTGATGGAAAGCTGAACTTTGTGGAGAAAAATCACAGCGGATGTCTGCGGTATGGGAGCGGCTTGGGAAGGGGTTTTGAAATTGCCAGAACATTTTTTTTTAAGAGAGAAGTCTGGGTCTTACAAATAAAGAGACCTTTGAATTTGAAACCAAGGCTCGTTTTATTTTTACATGATACCTTGTGGAAATGCAAAGGAAATGTTTCTTTGCTGGTGTTTCTCAGGATTTGCCTTTCCCTTTCCACTAAGAGAAATGTTTCTGAAACATGAAATGGGAATACCTCTGGCATTTGCTTCTTTCAAATCTAATTTCACCAGAAGATAATACCCTAATAATAATACCCATTGCAGGTGGGTCCTGTGTGTGCCTTGGTGGGTTTTATCAAATATCTGCAAGCAGCAGATAGATCCTGTTATCCTGTGATAGCAGTGGATGCCGTCGGGACCGCCCCTACCTGAAGCTGCTGTGGCTGGGATGGCAAGTTCTCGGGGGAGAACTCTTAAGGGTTATCCTGCCCATCGTGTGGGATAACACATTCAGGAGGATACCAGGCTGAAGGCCTTTCCCAAACGGAATAGATGTGACAGGCCATGAGTAAGTTATGTGCTTCAAGTGATGCTCTGCGCGTGGTGTGGCGAGCGGTCCGAGACTTCCTTGCTCAGAGGTTCCTGTCCCCCGGCGCCGTTCTGCACTTTATATTAAACACTAAACCGTTCTGCAGTTTAGATTAAACACTAAACTGGCCATGGGACGGGCTGGCAGGCTCTGGCCCCGTCTGGGAGCCAGTTGGGAGCGGGGTAAGTGCGGGCAACGCGTTTGGCTGCCTGCGCTGAGCCCAACCACCGATCCATCTTGTGAGTGGGAAAGGGTGGAATGGCTCATTCCTGCCTAATAACATACCCGCAGCTCTGATTTTCCCGTTCCTCTCCTTTCCTGTGTGTTAGCTGTGCCGTCGAGTCAGGAGTCAGGCTGGATTTCTGATGCCTTCTGTGCAATCTTATTTATTTACGGATCTTGAAGAAGCTGTGATTTATTGTTATTGTTATCGCGAAGCAGACGTGGCGCTGCCCTGCCAGCGGTGTCACCGCGGGTCCCCATCCCGGGCGGGTACCGCAGGCTGGAACCGGAGCATCGTCAGACGACGTGCAGGGTGCAGGGCAATCAGCTTTAAAAATTTTTTTTTTTGGAGTCAACGCTCCTGATGAATATTTCAGATGCAAAGGAATAGCATGCATTAATTATTGCAAAGAGATGTCTTTAGGAGAAAATGATTTTGAAATTCAGTTTAATTTCATTGTAATGTGCTGCAAACAGGAAGGGAGTATGTGTGTTTAATTGGCTCTCGGGGGTAAGGCCGGGAAGATGGCATGCCTTTGTCACAGGCCATTAGTGATACAGACTGCATAATGAGAGAGTACAATCAGCTCACAGCTGCCGGCTCCTACGGGGAGAGAATGATATTAAATAGAAATCAGTATAAATTAAACTTAACCCTTTCGCTAGCTGAGCAAAGCTCAGAGCTAGAAGTAACGGGAGGAGTGGAGACAGGCATAGGGGGGGTGGTTGGGCTGGGTCGGCCCCCCAGCAGCGGACCACTGACCAAGCTGCCTCCCTGACATTCCCCCATAGCTACCCCGGGAGGACAGCAGGCTTTTAGCTCTCTTCCTCATCCCATTCTCCCACTCTGTGCCTTCCTTTAATTTTGTTCCTCTCCTGACCGCTTGCTCCATCTCTCGTGGATGTCGGGATGACAGGGATGTTTTTTTCCTAAGCCTGGTTCAGCCATGAGTGAGACCTGTCGCCCCTTGCTCGCCCTGCCTGCCCCCGCAGCGGTGACGGCCTTGGGAGATCACTTGGAGATGGCAAATGTCCCCGTGGTGCTGAAAACCCACTTCAGGGACCCGAGGAGGTTGTGTCCCATCAAAGCGGGTGGGATCCGGGGGGTGTATTACCTGCGCAAACAGAAGCGGGTAACTTTGGAGTGGGGACCATGCGAGCAGAATCCAAAAAAGGCAAAGCCTGGTCACTGCCAGGCTATATTCTGCTCTATAGATCCTCAGAGTTTACACACACGAGTCACTGGAGCTTGATCCCTCCTTTGGTTTTGGGATCAGAGCTAACCTGGAACTGCTGCACGCGTGGGCTGAGTGCCAGTTCCTCTCCAGACCTGCCCACAGGGTGAGGGGTGATGCTCAAACCTCACGATCCACCCGCTGAAATGTTCCTTTGGGTGCTCTCCTGGCCTCACAAAAGGGTCTGGAGTTGGCCTTCGGCACCAGCATCTGCTTTCTTACTAAATGGCTTGGTTTTCAAGAAAATTCTTCCTGGGAAGGGTAGGGAGGCACTGGCACAGGTTGCCCAGAGAAGCTGTGGATGGCCCATCCCTGGCAGTGTCCAAGGCCAGGCTGGATGAGGCTTGGAGCAACCTGGTCTAGTGGAAGGTGTCCCTGCCCATGGCAGGGGGTGGGACTGGGTGGGCTTTAAGGTCCTTCCCAACCCAAACCGTTCTGTGATTCTATGGAAACCTGTGCTATTTATGGGACATCACTCTCAGTTCAGGACTGCAGGGAAGAGCTCCTCTCTTAGAACACAGTCAGTCATGTCATTTCAACTCCACAGGATTTCTGAAGCCAGCACTAGCTTCACTGTCTGGCTTTATTTTGGAAAATGTGTACGTCTAACTCAGGCTGTGGCATAACGTGCTTTTCCTCACTTTACAAACTGGGCCCAGGCGAGATTCCCGCTAGTCTTGCGGTGAGGCTAATACAGATGACCAGTCACTCCCTTCTGGTCTTGGCAAGAGACTGATTTTAAATAGTAGTTTGCATCGTACTCTTACATGGCTTTGCACTACACTGAAGTTGTCTGAAGAAAAGATTATTTGACATTTTCTTCCGTTAAAAATGAGTTTATTGCCACTAAAAATAACTTCAACACTCACGAGGCCGAGTATTGTCAGGAGGTTTCATATTTGACAAATATCTTGCTGAGGTTGCTGGTTGAACTATTTTTCTATGGTCCCACTAAGATAAACAGACTCATTTTTGAGAATCAATTTGCTTAAGGGACCTTCTTTCATCAGGGTTTAATATTTGATTAATACTTGCTGTTAGATAGTAGTGAGAAGTAGTGGTGCGTGTCTCGCTAGTGGTGAGAAGTACTGGTTTACTCACACTGTCTGCTATGGAAAAGGAGAGTGAAAATGCAGTGATTTACTAGAAAAAAGGGGTTTGCAGCCACAAATCAGCCGTAAGTGCAAAGGAGTGGAAGTTCCAGAATAAAGGCTGGGCCCAGGAAAATGCCTCTTGCGAAACAAAGCACACGCTTGACTTGTGTGCATTTGAAGTCTTTTTCTGGCTGCAGGTCATTTATTTTTCCCAGTATTTCAGGCCAGCTCTTTGGTTTTGGTTGCTGTTCCTGTAAATTCAGTTACTGTGGGGATTTTTCAGAAAGTATAGGAACCAAAAAAGAGTCAGCACTTAATGGCAGCAGTCATTTTCCTTTCTGATGGACAGCTCCTTTATTAGAATCCCCTTTTCTCCCGTGAAACTGCCTTCCCCCAGAAAACAACCGCACGGCGAGCACTGGGAATGCTCGCTCCCTCCGTGACGGGAGATGAGGAATAGCCATGCGGTCGTGGCTACCAGCGCTGTCTCCGCAGCGTGCTCCCGCAGCTCCCTCCTCGGTTTCTAGGGAAATCTCGGAAAGGCCAGGCATTTAGTGCGATGAGTGCAAACCTGTGTTTCCTCCCGCCGGGACGAGAGGCAGACACGGGGTGTGTGCTGTGCGGGAAGCCTGTGCAGACATCCGCCTGCCCGTTTTGTGCCTCCGGTTAGGGAAGGGACGTGTACGTCTGTGTGTGTTATAGCGGGGAAAAAGCAGAGAAAAAGGCATGATGCTGTGGTGACTTTTTGATGAATTTAAGATCATGGCTTTTTTGAGAAGCATCTGAGCCCGGGGTGTCGCGTAGATGATTTACTGGTGCTCCCATCCTCTTTATTCCCTCCGATTCGCGCCGTTGTCTGCCTCCCTCTCCGCCTCTCATTTCCATCTGAGTGAATTTGATTATTTTTATTGTATTAAAGCTGTTGACAGAGCTGCTTAGATCAAAGTCCCCTCCAGCCATTTCCAGGGAGACTGCTGGGTATCCACCTGCTGTCATACATCCAAGCGGCACCGAGCCCTCGGAGACCCAGACAAACCCAAAGGAAAAATGCCTACAGCTGCCTGTCTGCTGTCAGTGCGATACCGTCCCGGCTGTCCCGCGCCCCGCGAGGGGAGAGGCAGTCTCCGGGCACGCTCACATGCCGCGGAGCAGGAAGGATGGAAGAAAGAAATAAGGAAGTAAGACATTTTTTACAATAGGAGGGTGGTGAGACACGGGCACAGGTTGCCCAGAGAAGGTGTGGATGCCCCATCCTTGGAAACATTCGAGGTCAGGTTGGACGGGGCTCTGAGCAACCTGATCTAGTTGAAGATGTCCCTGCCCATGGCAGGGGGTTGGACTAGGTGACCTTTAAATGTCCTTTCCAACCCAACCCATTCTACAAGCAATCGCCGAGTGAACCCTGGGAGCTGGAGGAAAGCTGCAGAAAACACCAGCCTCCCTGGTCATCCCATTCCCTGAGCTTTATCCACCCGTCCCAGCCTCGTGATGCTCGTGTCACTCAGGCTCTGGCACTGTCAGAACGCGTTATCTCTGCCCAGGAGGCAGCAGTCATCAGGCAGCGAATGGCTTTGGCGTCAGGAGGAAGGGGACGGAGGGGTTGGGAGCGTGAAGGAGTTGCCCAGCACCGTGCCTGGGTGCTGCCTGTTTGCCTGTGGGTTTTCCTGCCTGCGCAGGGCATTCTCTGGAGGAATCTGGCAATACAGTGGTGTGCACAGGGGGAGTGATACAATCGGAAAGCAGACCTCTCCCCGAGGGAAGGCCGGCTTCCATTCACATTTGCCCATACATCCAGAAAATTAGAATCTGGTGTATTCAGGGAGATTTATTTTCAATTACAGGTTAAGGCTGAGACATGAAATAGCACTGGGTTTGAAAGTAGTGCATAAATCCTGCAAGAAATCCATGTATCTCAGCTCCATATAATAAGATTTTATTGATTGCTATATTGTATCTGTCAGGATAAAACTCCCTTAATGCATGCATCAGGATGGAGAAGATAGAAGGCTTGTTGGTAGTAGAATCTGATTCAAGAATCAATGCACTTTGATTAATATGTCGTTAAAAAAGTAAGAGTTATTTAACTTGTTTGATGCACATTTCAAAATGACGACTCATATCTTTTAAGTTTATTTCTTTAAGCTGCGTTTAAAAAAAAAAAAACACCAACCTTGTAGCTGTTTTCACATTGCTAAGTCCTGGTTTAACACCAGATTTTTGCTAGATCCTTTTACATGGGTCACAAACCCCCCTGACTCCCATTAACAGTAATTCCTGTGGCCCAAAAGACTTCCCCCGTGCTGTTGTCAAAGGCTTTAGAAGGAAGGGAGAAGGGGATGGACCTCTATTCCTTTTGGATGTTCAGCAGTACAAGAGTGAGCTCCAGAGGAAGGAAAAACAAGAGAAAAAGATAAATTAATCTGGAATAAGACATCATCAGGAGAAATGAGAAGCATCCATCAGCTCATAGAATCACAGAATATCTAGAATCACAGAATCACAGAATGGTTTGGGTTGGAAGGTGCCTTAAAAACCATCTAGATCCACACCCCTGCCTTGGCTTGGCTGGGAGCATCGTACCCAACATGACAGTTCCCAGGTTGCTCCGGGGACAGGACCTGCCCTTAGAGCAGCCAGGAATCCCCCGTCAAGGGAATAAGCCCAGTGACACCCTCAGGCTGGTTTCAGGCACCTCCTCGTGTCCATCTGTCCTTGCCAGGCTGAGCTCCCCAGTCTGGACAGTTCTGCTGGTGCCAGCTCCAGATCGTTGCCGTTCCCAGCCCTGGCTCCTTGGCCATTTCCACCTCACCACTTCTGAGGGAAAAGGCAAGGCTGCCTGCAGTTTTCCAGCGCAGAGATATCTGGCATTTGTAGGAAATGCCGTGGGCAGGTCAACCTTAGCCAGACACCACCCATTCCTCCTCTGGGGCTGATCTCCAAGGAGAAGGGGCAGGAGGAGCAGTGAGCGGTGCACACCCCATCCCTCTGGCATAGGCTTTTTCCCTGTCCCCAGAGACAAGCAGGTGTTCCCCTGCCAGGGGAATTGCTTACATTCATGGGTGTAGTGCTGACACCTGAAACATAAAATACTTTAGCCTGATCAAGGCAGATTATAAATAGAAATGCATCTAATTAGCATCCTAATCTGCAGGTTTTCTGTTTGTTTGCGGTGTCTTTCCTAGTCACAAATCCAGTTTGTGCAAATGCTATTTTTACAGGAACGATTCCTTAATTATAACGCGTTGCAGATGATGTGACTTACTGGATTGGTAAACCCGCCGGATGAAGCACTGGCTCCCTCCAAGGAGCTTCTCCTTGAGCCTGCTATAGCCTAAGCTCGTGAGTCGGGCAGGATGGCACCGCTCACTGCATCCCTTGGTAGTGGCTTAGAACTTGGCCCCGCGTTCCTACAAATGAAAGGACACCCAAAAACCAGCCAAGCATGCCCCAAATGTGTAAAGCTTCCTTTATAATCTCAAAGCGTTCCTTAGGCACACAAACTTTTAACACTGTGGAGAGAGAATTCCCTTTTTTTTGCTTCCTGCCTCAGTATTTATTCTTTCTCTGAGAGGAGGCAGTATTGCCAGGTTTTCCTGATGGCTGGAAGTCTTAGGGTCATACGGGCAGAGCGAGACAAACCCTGTGTTTCCTTGACTGCTCGCGAGACTGATGTTTTCAGCAGTTCAGCGAGTGACTTGGGATTTTCGTAGCTGTAAATGAGAGCAGCTTTTGGCACAGAGTTTGTTTATTCCCTCCAAAGCTCTGCTCTGGTTGTGCCTGCATGGTGGATGCCAACCCTTTACT